ATTAATTAATCTAACTCCAAAGTTAGATGCCATAAAATATCGGATCCTAGTCCAGTGCGCTCCAATCCCAGGCCCAAAGACTCCAACACCTTATTTGTTACCAGAGAAACAAGTCGAGCGAGAATGCAAATAGACTAAGACATAGAATGAAATAAATATGTCACTCTCATCCTCACATTTGAATGTGAATGCTATTAGAAGATGAAGCGAGAATGACAAATATTGATATGAGCAACTAATACTCAATTATGAATATCTGCTTCTTTTTTTTAAAGGGTTTACACTTAAGTAGGAATGCTCATTCCCCGTCAACACATTAGGAATGATTACTCTCGATCGCATAAAATAAAAATTTATGAAAAGTTGAATTGAACATTCAAACTTCAAGAAACATGTTATGATTGGTATACTTAAATGAGAAGGGGAATTTTGTGTTCGTTTCCACGTTATTAATACATAGCAAAGCAGTGTGCAAAGGGTGCATAAGGTCCAGATACAGCTCGTAAATGATAGTTATCATCTCCACATATTCTTACCATTCACGGATATGAATATGAAAATATATATGTCTCTGTAAGAAAATTCATATCCATATCTGCTAAAATCGTATATGATTAGGGATATGAATGCGAATAAATAAGTGGATATACATGCAGATACAAAGGAGTATGTTGATATCAGAAGTTTGGTAGTAGAATTCAGAGTATATTTTGAAGAACTTAGGATCCCTTAATCTCCTTTGATGGCTGACTGTTGAGTGAAAGAGATTCTTGGACACATACAACACATTAGAGAACCAGAGTTGGGTTTTTCAATGGTTCCTCCGATGATCAAGTTAGCTGTGATTTGAAGGGGAGAAAAATAATTTAGTTCTCTTAAGTGTGCGGAATTTTTTGCGTACCTTCATGCAATATACAACGTGCCTATTTATATTAGATAAGGAAGGGTATTTGTGTACCTTTAGCCAAGTTCAGGCAGTCGTTTCTCGATATTTTACAGGTGTTAGCAGCAGGTGGTCCTAGTCACCTTTGTATTTGATAGACCCTAGAGGGGGGGGGGGGGGTTAGGGGTAATCCGATTAAATGCCAATTAAAATTAATTAATAAGTTATCCTAGCAAATATGAAATATCACAAGATATATAAGCTAGGATAAGCAATACAAACAAAGAGATATATCCTATATGATGAATATGTATATATGCAAGGATATATAAACAACACAAGGATAAAATAAACAAACTACACAAGTGATAGGGTAATATGATGAGCAATACACAAAGGCGATATAAGATATGAAAACAAGAATAAGAACGCCAATGCAATCACAAACAAAACGATATGATCACGGAGTTCGGTCCCCACGACCTACGTCTCCGCTCCTCACCTCGAGGAGATCTCCACTATCTCACCCGGGTTTTCTACGTTCACTCGAACAACGTTTACACCTCACAATACAATCACTATGTAATCACACCTTACACACTAAGTGTTGGTCCTAGCCCGTGTCCTCCTCCTCAAGTGCTCGGTTACAACCTCTCCCTAGGCACGTCAACCGACGCCACTCCTCTTGGATTCGACCCCGTCTCTCACCACACACTTCTCTCGGTGTACAAGTGTATTACAAGTGAATCCTCACAATTAAGCACAATATAAATTAATTGATTGTTCTCTAAACAAGGTGAGAACTCAATTAAGCTCACTCTCAATGTCACAAACCCACAACCCTAAATTATACTATGAATGTAAATACAATAAGCTCAATAGGTTGTGTGTGAACAAAGAGATAATAAAATCAACTAAACTCAATATGAATACTAGCTTAATAAAATGATAATCAAACAATATGAAATATAAAGCTAGATTGAGTTTAGAAAACTTCTCAATAGATGACAAGAGATGGAGGGAGAATAGTTGATTGCTCAAACTCTAATAGATGATCTCCTCAAGCTCTTGTGGAATTGAATTCTCAAACTTAAACACCCAATTGCTTAAAAGCTTCTAAACAAACATTAAACAAACTTAAACCCTTGTTTAAAACTCTTTAAACTTGTTTAAAAAAATTTCTTGAGTGCCCTTAGAAGTATGAGGGCATGGAGTGTATATAGGCTCATGAAACAAGCCCCAAAACCCAAGAAAACCAAGCAAAAAGACAAAAAAAACGGATATATCAAAATCTGAAAAATATAGCCGTTATGCTACAGTAACCGCGTCCAGAGACATTTCCGGTCGACCGGAGTTACTGTAGCAGTGCGGAGCTGTTTTGTAAAATCAATTTAAAATAGTAAATGAACTCCAAAAATTATGAAATTTTGTGGGAATGTTCTAGACATGTAGAATAACATGTCAGAGAAAGAATTTCTGAAAACATGTGCACGAACGAAAACGTGAATTTGTAAATTCCTTTAAACATAACAAATCAATTCCAAACTTGATGAAACTTTGAGAAATGTTTGCAAATGATATTTTGAACATGTTACAAAAAGAATTTTCCAATTTGCATTTCCCAATTGTGAAATCTCATTATTTTGCAAAAGTGTTCAAAACATGAAAAAAGTGATATACATGAAGTTTGATGTTTTGACATAAACAATGTTTTGAAACTTTGCACAATGATTATATAGACTTGATAAAATATGTATATGATGATTGTTAAGTCTATAAACTGAGAATACAATATTTGAGCTTAGAAACCAAATACGTGTGTGTATATGATATTGAGCTTAGAGTATCTAACACACATAATATAAAACCTAAACTAAATATACCAAAGCTTGATCTTGATCTTCAATAGGCTTGACTTGATATATTTGCGGATGAAGCTTGAACTCGATCTGTAACTTGAATTGCATAAGCTTCACCAACATTCCGCCAACCTCCTTTGGATATGATCGTTGAAGCTCTATTCCATCCATCCTCCAACTACGTTGTTTGTCTACAAAACATAGGAATGCACAAACACTAGACAAACAACATTAGTAATAAATTGTTTGTTAAACATCATCAAAACAAGAAGGCCAACAGTATTTATCATGACGGTGATAAAGGGGTTACGGCACTGGCGTGATCTGATGAATCATTATGACTCCAAGGGAGGTGTAATTATGGCTTTGACCATGCATTTAATATGATAGTGACCGGCTATCGTTACTAAGTTCAAGAGGGAACGCCTTTCGTCTCAATCCTTCCAAAGATGTCGAGTGAAGACACTTCTCGACTCGGTCTGCTAAGCGATGGACGCCTCGGATATTTGAGATGGCCTAAGGACGTCTTTCGAGTCAGCGTTCTGATCAAGGACCGCCATTCAAGCCAAACCTTTTATCAGACTCGGGTCGAGTTGATATCCAGTCGATCGAAACACATGTCACTTTCTAGAGCGAGATTTATACTTAGCGGTTTCTATGATATAACAGAATATGGAAAACTAGATAATACTAAAAAATATACAGTCCATGTGATACAAGAGAATTCATTAGTATATTCGTTATATCTAAAAACCTAAGATTAAACATCTTGATCCTCAAAACTAACCTCAAATTCATTAAATTAATGATTAAAAATTATTGCAATAGTATGACCATATATATTCGAATGTTTCGGATACTAATAGAGATATTTCAGTATATAACCATATCTATTATCTATGTCAGAAATATTTCAGTATATAACCATATCCATTATCTATGTCAGAAATATTTCAGTGTATAATCATATCCATTATTCATGTCAGAAATTTGATTATATGTGTTTATGGATATTTAGAGGAGTTTATGGTCCCTTAAGCTTTCTTGATAGGTGATCAGTCAGGAGGAACCGAAGCTTATTGCGTTGGCATGCCCTCAAATGTTCAACTCAGCAATAGATTAAGCAAATTTGTAAAATCTAGTTTCAAGGAGTAATTTAGCAATTTTTTGCCTCTTTGAATAGTGGAGATTACCCACTATTTATAGATGGTTGGCAATGGCGCGAATTTGACCGGGTTTGTGCAATCGGTTGATCAGACCACACTTTACACTTGTCGGTAGCCTATTGAATGAGTCGCCTTTGTGTTTAACGCAATAATGACAGAATCACTGAAGTGCTGGTGTGGCCCGAGAAGTCATAACTTTGGCTCGAAGAGTCATAATAACTCTGACTTAACATTAAATGCGATGGTGATTGAGCGGTAAAGTACAACTGTTGAACCTGATAGGTCATCGTGTTATTCGAGACATTCTCTAGCGAGGGTTCGCGTAGAATACCTTTCGTCTCAGACTTGGCTTCTTTTTGCGTACCCTGGCTCGAAATTCGTCTCGGATTTGGGCTGCCAAAAGGGTCACACTGGGGTCGAACTTTCGGATTAGTAAGACTCAGCCAGTTAATTATGACATGTAACCGGCTCTCCAGAGTTAATTAGACTTGATAATTATCCATATACGACACCCGTAAAGGTTTCCTATCAGTTTATTAGACTTTTGATGCAAATATTTTCTTGGACGCGAATATTCTCGTACCCCCCGGTGCGCGAGTTCACCTATGGGAGGCGACTACGCCTCAAGGAAAAAGCGGGGCCCAGTTCCGCGATCACGTGGACGGTGTGGACTCCCAGAACTCCCGACTCCTCCGACAACTAACCCAGAACAGCCACGTTTCCCCTCTCTTCAACTGTGTGGGCCCAATTTAACCAGCTTCTCTGTTCGCAACTTGACACGTCACCCCCGAATTAACTCCTTCGCCCGTGTCCCAACTTGACATCAGATCACCTTCGTCCGTACGACCCCGCCGACGTCACCTCCTCGCACCCAAGCCCTTTTTCGCGCGCGATTACGGCGACACCCAATCTTTCCCCCTTCCTTAATCACGATATTTTCTCCCCAGTATTACACAAATAAACTCACGAAATTTTTTTTACTAATTATTAAGTAATTACCATTATAATTAAAGTGCATCCAAAGACGGTAAGTCCCCTACTTAAAAAGGACTCTCGTCGTCGAGGAAAGTAAAAAAAAAAAAAACATATAACTATAAATAGTTCGTAACAAGGGGGGAAATCTCCCTGTTCCTAAATTCCCCTCATTGAATTCACATAGAAAAGAGTGAAGCGACTGAATCGAAATCGATCGATCGATCGTCCGAGCCTCGGAGATCCGTTGAATTCGACTTGATCGTTGGTTAGGTTAGTCGAATCGGAGTTCGGAATCGGATCGCAATCCCTAATTTGGCAGAATTTGGGGGAGAAAAGCCTCATCGATGCAGGATCATAGCGAGTTTCAGAGCAATGCGGTATCGAGTTCATCCAATGCATCGCCGGAGAATCTCGAAGGTAACCCTCTTTTGTTTGATCCGGTGGCATCTGCGTTTCTTTCTATTTTAATCGAATCTTTTTGAAAAGATGCTTCTTTTAGATTGAAAGTTGGTATCTTTTTGTCTGTAGATGCTATCTGGAAGTTGAAACTTGAGGAAAACAATCAGGTGGGTAATCAAAACCCTTACCCTGATCGACCCGGAGCGCCGGATTGCATATATTATTTGAGGACAGGGCTATGTGGTTATGGGGGCAACTGTAGATACAATCATCCAAATTATAATGGACAAGTAAGGAGAACTATGCTAAAACTGCAAATGATGAAATTATGAAAGATTTGATGTTTGAACGTCTCTGTTTCAATGCAGGGAACTCAGGATCGAGGGGAACTGCCGGAAAGAGTAGGGCAACCTGATTGCCAGGTATATGGTTGTTTGCCCAAACTGTTCTTCCCCTCTCTTGTATTAACCTTGAGGAACAAAGTTGCTCTCTTTCAGTTAAGTTGGTCAATCTCGTGTCTGCAAGTATATATTTTGGTTGAAAAAGTATTGATCCTTCCATCAAGTGCTAGTAATATTTATGTATTGACGTAGTTGGAAGTAGATACTCTGTCTGTGTCCTTGTGCGTATGTGCGCAGTGTATGCTAATTTATGTGCTTGTGTGTTGGAGAAAGAGCATCTGCCGTGAGCCACCCATAAATATACTCATCTCGTTGCATGCTACCACTTCATTAGCCCATATTGCTTCTAGGGAGCCACTCAACCCTTATACTGTGTTGGTCGTAGTGTCTTGGAGTTCTCTGATTTTCGGAAAGGAGAAGAGAGCAAACCAAGGAGTCAAGGACGGCCTCAGTTATCTTCTTTTGGGTTGAATATAAGAGTTTCTGTTGCTACTAAATGAGAGGGTTGCTTATGAAATACGATAGCAGTATCCACCAATAGCAAAGTTGTAAGGTTCAACAGACCTCTAAAGATTAAGTGAATTGTCCTACCACACGGTGGTTTGATGGTTTCTCAGTGCTGAAAGACTATAGTGTCAACATGGCGATCTTCACGTCAGATGATTGAGCAGAGGTCTTCCCGTTATTACTGTGGATGTATTCTAACTTATTAACTTTCTCAGTGCTACCTCGTACGTAGGTTGGATGCTCAATAACATGTGCATTCCTACTTGGATTTAACTCTGTTTGTGACAAGTATATGGATTTTAAAACGTGTCCCAGTTGCTGCTATGCTGGCATACATATGCAGTAGGTCACTGTTTTCTTCTTTCCTTTTTTGCATGAGCAGTGTATTTTTTTTATTCAGAGTTTCATATTTTGTTCTGTCTCCAGTTTTTATTCAACAAAAGTGTAGAGTTCTTTGCTTGCTTAACCAATCACATCGATCTCCTTGATTCATTCCATTTGTACTTGGACTAAAATGCTTCCAGAGTGCCCTGGCCTTGCTCTATAATATCTGTGAACTTATTGTTCATGTCACTCTTGCAGTATTTTCTGAAGACAGGGACCTGCAAATTTGGAGCAACATGCAAATATCATCACCCACAAGAGAGGTACGACCTACAACCCGCTCCACTGAACATTCTGGGGCTGCCAATGCGCCAGGTACTACTTTTTCTCCGTTGGTCACTGTACTCTGGACCACTTTTAACTTATTTATTTCAATGTTATAGGTTCTTTTTGCACTATTTTTTTGTTTCTGTTTTACAGGATGAAAAGTCGTGTCCATATTACATGAGAACTGGATCCTGTAAATTTGGATTTGCCTGTAAATTCAATCATCCTCCGCCTGCCACACTAGGCCCTGTATTTTCTGTGGGGCCATCTGCCTACGGTTCAACTGGACCTTATGTGGCACCTCCATCAAGTCTTCCCTTTATTGGAGGACTTTCAGCATGGCCTTCAGCAAGACCTTACTTACCCAGTTCAAGAATGCAAGATCTCCCAGCTTATATGCCAGTTTTCCTTCCATCCTCCCAAGGCACTATACCAGTACAGCAGGGTTGGGCTACTTACATGGTCAGCTACTATTTTTTTATTGCCAAGCTGTCTACTATGAGCATATTGATGACTGATATTGTCAGCGGTTTCATGACTTTTGCATCAGTGGAAATTTCCATAAACATGCATGATGCTGTTTTCCATCCTCAAAAATAATGGCCAATAATAATAATGCTTAGTAGTTTATTTATCCCTGACATAATCGCTAGCACATATGGTTGATGTATTCTGCAGTTCAAATTAGTCTTGGGGGTCCTACGCAATGATCTAATTGTTTCTTCTATTTTCTCGACATATTCATGGAAGTAAAATACGTACAGTGAATTATGCAAGCGAAGTGAGTTTCCATCAAAGAAATAAGAGAAACAAAAATGATTAGGTGACACATTAGTACTTCCTCTTAATATCTGCTTCCGGAGATTTTTGTTGTAGCCTACCGTACTGGTAGCTATGCACTTCGGCAAGCTAATGTTTTGCAAAGGTTAGACTGGATTGGTATAGCTTATCATCATTGGATACAGTTATATTATGCATTTCGTCAAGCAAGTGTTCTGAGAATATTATTCTGGACTATCTATTGTAAAAAGCTTGTATGGTTATTGTTAAGTTGTACGAATCCTCCTAAAAGTTGTTATGTAATTCTGTTAGAATTGTTCCTCGTTTTTTGTGATTATCGTTTTAATCATGAGTTTTGGTTTGTGGGTGTGAAAAATATAGCTGTTTGATTCCATGACGGTATTTCACTTTGAAAATGGTGGCCACACACAAAGTGCTCTGCTTTATGTGCATATTTGGAACTGGTGGAAAATGAATTCCTATGAAAATTATCATACGAAGATAAAATTTGCATCAATGAAGAAACATGGAAACCACCTTTTCTTTACCCAAATTGATAAATACCACCTTTTACTTGTTTGTTTTATAGGAAACCACTTTTAAATGTGGGTATTGTTGCAATTTCACACTTTTTTTTACGATTTACGATTAAAAGACTGCAGTACTCATAATACCCTCATTGCACGTGCAAAGCATGTGAGTCCCTCTTAACTCATCTTTAACTAGGGTCGAGTAGGAATTCGGGAGCTCGGTCGCCGTGAGCAGCTGCATTTAATCAAGTGATCCACAAACGACGAAAGTCCATCTTTTGCCTGCCCCTATCTCGATGAGAGGAAACCAAAGCTATCATTTTCTGTTGAGTAACGGTTAGGGGTGCTAAACCGTATCCGTATCCGAGAAAATATTCGTAACCGTATCCGTTAGGATACGAATATGGTTACTCAAATCTATAACCGGTAGGATATGGCTACGGATATGGTTTTGTAGTGAAATATCCGTATCCGTATCCGAAATATCCGAATACATATTAGTCATACTCTTACGTTAGTTTCGATTCTTAGATTATGGATTTGTGGTTAATTTTGATGATCAAGATGTCTAATCTTAACTTTTCAATTATAATGGACATATTAACAAACTCTCTTGTATCACATGAACTATGTTTTCTCAATATTATCTATTTTTCTCATATTTGTTTTGTATCAGCATGCATATCCGCTTATATATCCGCATGTATATCCGTAACCGTATCCGATTTTAGCGGATTTGGTTATAAATTTTTCTTACCGAGGTATATCCGTATCCGTATCCGAGATGGGTAAGCGGATATGGATATGATAAGCATCATATCTGAGCCGTATCCGGACCGAATGCACCCCTAGTAACGGTTTGAGTAAGTCTTGAGTGAGCCCATATAAAGGTTGACGCAAATAAATGAGTTTTTGTTCGACATCTCTGAGCTATATATCCACGTCTAACTCTGGTCATTGAATCAAATTAAAATTTAATGAATGAATAACTAATTGATTTCTCTTCTTTCAATCATCCTTTTATTCCTCGGTTGATTAATAACAAAACGGATTATTCCGATATAAAAAAACTCCATTCGCTTTTGCTACTATGACCTTCCCAACCTCGATTTTTTATTCCTTCCAGATAAAATTCCTGGAAATAAGAAATTTCATAACACAACAATATTAAATAACTAACAGAAAATATAGTGGGTTCCATTGTTTCTATGGTTACTCCATAAATGGTGGGAGCGGTACAGTGAGGGGAAGAGAGCGGAGAGGGCGGAGTTCGCGAGTTTACTGTGGTAGGATTTTTTGAGGAGTATGTTGCTGGATTTTATGGTGCCATGGAAGAGCTTTTAGGTTTGATTTGGAGGGGTTTTGTTGGTGGATGTAGGCCAGGCCATGGGCGGTGATGACAGTGAGTTGAGATGGAGCAAGGAGGCAGGTGAGGTTGAGGGAAAGTGATGGGGCCAGAGAGGTTGTTGTGGGAGAGGAGGAGGAGGCAGAGGGAGGAGAGAGGGGAGAGATCCGGCAGATGGCTGGAGAGGGAGTTGGATTTGAGGCTGAGGATGCGGAGGGAGGGTATTTTGAATCTTTTTTAATCAGAAAAATCGTAAAAACTTGTGACATTGCAACAGTACCCATATTTAAAGGTGGTTTTCATTAATAAAAAGAAAGAAAGTAAAAGCTGGTATCTATCAATTTGGGTAAAAGTAAATGTTGTTTCCATGTGAAAACCCAACGAAGAAATGTGTATTTGAACTGTATGAAAATTTAAACAGTTTCCTATATGTTGTCTTCTAGCAGATAAATCATATTCTTTTTGATAGTTTCGGAACTTATTTGCTTATCTCCGAGCCCTTCCAATTCATTTATAAATAATAGATATGATTAAGTTTTCAATGTACACCAGGGTCATGCAAGCCAAATTCCATCTACTGAGGTTCTTGGACCTACACAGGTATCCAATACTAATCTTCATGCACAATCTAGTTCAAGCACTGTAATAAATCTCCCAGAGAGGCCAGACCAACCCGAATGCCAACATTACATGAAAACTGGTATCTGCAAATATGGAGAAACCTGCAAGTATCATCACCCAAAAGAAAGGTATTTAGAAAGTTCTATTACTCTTGGACCATCAGGGCTTCCTCTGAGACCAGTAAGTGGAAAATTTTCTTATTCTATCTTCTATAAGACACCAATTCTTCTTTCATTTGTTTAATTTCTGACTGTTTTGTTGTGATTTCAAAGGGTCATGGAATCTGTACATTCTACAGTGTGTATGGAAGCTGCAGATACGGTTCAGCTTGCAAATTTGACCATCCGGTGATGGGATCCTATGACTATGCGATGCCTGCTCACTTTCCTTCCAGCCAGAGTAATTTACCTCTGCAAGTGACATGGGCATCAACACCAGAGGCTCCTTCTTCAAAAACATCCAAGTTAACTGATCAAATCAAGAAATCCAGTGAGAAAAACAATGTTGAAGAGAATGTGGCTTCCGATAACCAGAATGAGCATGTTACTGTTCCACCGTCAACAAATACTGAAGCTTCTTCTGATTCTTCGCAAATTCACTCGAATTGAACATTCATCCCGTTGCATATTTTATCCATTTTGGGTTGTTCCTGAATTGAAATTTGGGTACTGCCTCCTCGTCTCATCCTTATTTTTGTCCGCGGCTAAATTATCTTATGCAAGATCTTTACTGGTTCTTGGTGACAACTCGACTCCTCTCCTAAGCCTTTTTTGTGGTGTGAATGAAGATTCTGGCGAAGGTGCAAGTTCCTGTTAAATTATACACCAGATTTATTCCGTTACTTCAAAAAAGAATTGTGAACTGAGAAGTAGGACGTTCAGTATATTTGCTTTTGTTCAAAATGTTACACATGAGGTTGAGTTTTGTCAAAATAATGAGTTAATTTCTAAAGAATTACAGTTCATAGTCAACCACGTATTGTGTACATTTCTTTTGGATGTTGCTAAGTTCATGTTTGTAGACGTTACTGTTTAGGAGATTTGATGATTGTTCATATACAGACTTGAAAATAGAACATGCTTGCAGAATCCTTGAACATTCAAGAGGAGCTGAAACCGAATTGTATCGCCCTATAACTATAAAAAAATTAATCTTCCCCGCCTAAACTGCAGGGATTTTGCTGACACGAATATCAATATGGCAAAACTATTTTTATCCATATTTGTTATAAATATAAAGGAATTACGTGTTATGTTATGCTTTTGTATTTTCTTACAATGAACACACTTGATTGAAAAATCAACCATAGTAATATTGGTATTTGGATATGGGTAAAAACTGTGCATGCCAACGTCTAGACTTGAACGCAGCATTTATCAAAATATGCCACAACTCACAAGGCTTTAATGTCATAATCTCTATGTCTGCGTTCATCATTTTGAAAATTTTCTCAGGGACCCAAAACATGGGACCAACTGGGAGGGACAGGTGATGTGTCCCCCTCCTATTGCATAATGAGCTGGTCATCGTTAATATGAAAGTTTCAAATAATACTGCAAGCTGAAATTTTTACTGCCTTCAGACCATGACATGTGGCCATTTAAGAACACCAAATTTCTTATGTATCAATCACTTTATAGCGAATATTGAATATATTTCACAAGCAAATTAAACTAGTCCGGGACAAAATAATCCCAACGAGAGCATGCTTGCAAGGGGATCTTACAAAAAGTAAACACCTTGCAATTTATCCACAATTTTCCCAGCACAAAGGGAGAAAACACTCTGTGCTCCACACTTCAACTCGTATTCTGCATATAATGCATAATGTTCAACCTTCACAACTAAAGAGGGTATCCTTTTTTAATTTATTTCGTACCCATAAAAATGCACATTAAAGAGAAACCTAAAATTTTCCGGATAAAGAAAACCAAGTATCTCTCCATAATACGAAAACTATCCCATCTCGGACAAACTGTCAAGAGCACTGTGAACTTGAAAATGAAGTAGACAAATGTTTCAAGCTCGAAACATCGAAAACCTCAATGAACCTCTGATCAGAAACCCTGGCTTTTGCCGCAGCAAAACGCTGATATTCATCAAATACCGAAGAAAGGCACCACCTCTGTAATTTTCTTAAACATCCAACCAAACAGCCTGTTCTATGCTGAAGAATGAAATTTCGTATTCCTGAGTCAGGTCAAATTGTGCAGTTAATAAAAATGAGATAGGCTATAAATGTTTACCTTTCCTCTTTTGCAGTGAATAAGCAATGGATGGTTACCGACATCTGCATCACAAAAAAAATGTTCTTGAATTTGGATACTGTACAAAGAATTCGATTAGTTTAAATAAGTAAAAAAATGTGATTATTGTACCAAGGACAACTTTAAGAGCCTCACGGATTGTATCTTCTGGAATGTTCACAAAAGGTTCCTGCAAGGATGTCGGTTTTCAGTGTTCAAAGTAGAAGTGGTTGAAGTAAAATTACACAATGTATACTGCGTTAATGGCACAGCATGAACCAGTTGTAGTTTCAACTATTAGTGTATGTAGAACTAATATTATGCCAATAATAACGGGCACATGCACACCACATTGATTAAGTGAGGATGATGTCTTCGATATTGATTACACGCCAATTTAACATGAGCCAGTTTGCACTTTTGTGCTAGTTAACTCTCTTGATATCAAAGGAGATTGTCCTGGGTGAAGGACAATGGATTTTCCATGTGAATTGGAGTATCTTCGACTCTACACAACCAAGATGAGCAATTAAAGCCTACATCATAAGCATTGGAATCCTCAAGACTAATTAAGATGGAAACTGCCAGCCAATCTTGAGTATAGAGCAAATGCCAACTTGAACTTTGGTCAAACGATATGATGCGATCATAAGAGACTCACTCTATGAAGATTGTGATATGATCTTCGATGAAGCCACTCAATTGCATGACGATGTGTGTCATCACATTGTACAAAGGGCAAGATACATATGCCAATTTTTGTCAATTTTAATAATGTTCTGCATGTTATATCCCGCATCGTATGGTCTTCTACCATTATAATCATAACACTTGCTTCCCTTGTCTGCTTTGATATCTTAATGATATGCTTTCTACAACAATGACTCTTTAAAACAGAAGTTTTATATTGTAAATAAACTTTTATGAGAAACGTATGTATTTTTATTTTCTGTTCTTAAATAATAAGTTTATACGAAAATGCAATGCTAGCAACAGTGTAGTAAACGAAGTATATAAGAACTTGCCAAATGCCAATGAAAAACCAATCAAACAACATGCTAAAGATACTAAATATAACTGAGAAGCATATTTATCGGTAGCTAGTAGCAAAAGATCAATAAGGGCCCCTAACGAACCATCGATTAGAAAGCATTTGCCTTTGTTTTTTTGTCACATAAGATTCAATGAAGCTAAAGTTTATGTCTGGCTTCAAATGATTCTTCATTAGTCTTGATCTTAAGGGAAAAAAAACACACAGAATTCAACTCCATACCAATGAAAATAAACCAAAATTCAACAAAAAATTGTAAAAATAAGAATTACCTTACACCCATCAATCCCAAACTGGAACAATCTAATCCCATTAGCCCTCAAGAGCTCCGAATTCGCCTCCGGGTACGGCTCCGGGCAAAGGCATCTTCACCAAAACCAATCAAAATCTCAACTTTAACCCCAAAAAGAACAAAAAAATTCCGACCAAAAAGCAATAAAAAACTCACAAAATTGAGCGAAGCCTCAAGCTCTGCAAGAAGCTGAAGTTAGCAGTATCAGGAAACCCCGACCGAAATATCCCGTTATCAACCATTGCGAAGTTCAATGGAGGCATAAGCAGCTCCTCCCCGTCTCTAGCAGCGGTAACCTCACCGCCCAAAGAGGAGTAGCAAGCTCTGTCAACGATCACGTCGTCGTCGTCGTCGTCGTCAAATTCATGCATTTTCTCAGTACCCGTGTAGACTGTCATCGAATAATTCGTATTATTCAGTCTTTTTTGCTTCAAGTTTTGTGAGAAATTGAAGGTAAACTCTGAATCTAGAGATGGGCACCGGGGAGAATAACGCATAGACATTCTGCGAATATTCGGTCTGCTTGTTTTGGAGCCTATTTATGGAGATGACGAGTGGAGGAGAGAGAGAAACTGATGGGTCTTTGTGGAAATAAGTTTTTGGGGTTTTTTTAGATGTTAGCCCCTTAACGCATAAGTAATTTGATGTTAGCCCCTTAGATCTTCTTATTTTGTATTAGACCTCAAACGGCCATAATATGTTGATATGAGCCCCCACACTGTTAGGTACATTTTTTGATATTAGTAGCACCTCAAATAGCCATGATGTGTTGATATGAACCCCTCATATTAACACTTCATAACAACTTGAGGGGCTAATATCGAAATATGGGGAGTTTAGTGGTTCATATGAAATTAAGTTCAATTTAAGGGGCTAATGTCTGGGAAAAAACCCTTTTTTTTTTTTTTTTTGTCTACATGCCCTTACAGATATCTTATTTGGTAATTTGATCTGGATATTAGATTTGACAAAGGATATTAGGTTTGTTAATTTGCCAAACTTATCCTAGATATTAGATTTGTCGGTTTGCCCCTAGATTTTTTGATTTCTCATTTTAATAAAGTTAAAATCTAAACCAAAAATATCTTCCAAAAAAGGGAAGTGCTTTCGCCTGTACATATATCTTCAAATCTATTGTGTTTGCTAGTCTGTCTATATTAATTTGATGATAATAATAGATGAGAGATGAAAGTTTGGTGTGAGTAATTTCACTCGACTCATGTGGATGACTCTAGAGTATGACGAAATTTTAACACCAACGTTTTTCGCTGACGTGGCCTTCGTATTTGACGTTGGGTAGGATCGGGGCTGTGATAACAGTAATTGTTAGCCTTTATAACAAAAACTACAGACTATTACCACGTTACGGAGTTATAATAATGAAAATTTACTCACTAATCAATGTTATTTATAATAACCCCACTCCTGATCCTAATCCTAACCCTAATTCTAATATGAACTCCAAATCATTAATTTAAAAATCACTAGTATAATTACACCATTTCCTGAGAAGACGGCGGTGATGTGGGGAGAATACAAGGGCAAATTAATAAATATGAAGATTGAGCAGTGAACCCACAAATCACTCCACAAATCGAACTGTTTTGTGGGGGTGCATACGAAAAGCGCCAAAAAAAAAAAGAAAAAACCCTCTTTGATTGGGTGACAAAACACTTTTGATTAGGATAATCTAAAGAGCTTTGCTACAGGGACCCAAAATATGGGACCAATAGAGGGGACAAGTGATGTGCCTCCCTCCTATTGGATAATGAGTTGGTCATCATTAATGATGGCCAACTCATTATCCAATAGGTGGGAGACACCTCACTTGTCCCCTCTATTGGTCCCATATTTTGGGTCCTTAAGGAATTTTTCTAATCTAAAAGTATGGATTCGAGAAGCGAGTCATATTCCGTGGATTTGAAAAACCAATAACTTGATAGTTTCCAAGGTGAGGTAATGAACAACGAATTAGCTTCGCTAACGGAACCCCACTAAATGATGACCAGCTCATTATGCAATAGGAGGGAAACACATTATATGTCGGTCACATATTTTGGGTACTTAAGGAATTTTTCACAACGAATTTTAGGAGTTGGAACTTAGAATTTGGGCTTTCTAGAAACAATGCATAGTATGTGGTTGAATTTGAATGCTTTAAACTAAGAACAATCCAACTAGACAAGCATAGAATTTTTTTTAGAATTTGGATCCACCCCACTACAAAAAAAAAATAGTGGTGTGACCACTACTTTTAATCTCAATCGTTGATTACTTAGTAGACGGTTATGATATAATCTAAATCTAACACTCTCACCATAGCCCAGTGTATTGCACTCATTCCTAATTTGCACTCAAAGAAAAAACCATAATTATCAACTATATAATTAATGATTGTGATTATGTATAATAAGACATTGTTTTCAAAAAAAAAAAGCAATTTCTTCTCATTTACTTCAATTGATTGGTGACTGATTGATAGCATTAAGGACTCCATAAGTTATGGATAAAAATTTATTGCACCCCCGTACTAAACAAAGACTTTCATCTCTATTATGAACCGTGAGTTCGCTAAAAACGTAGATATTGTCCACATTTACCTAATAACAAGGAAAGGATCATAACGTATAGATTTGTATATTGTCATTTGTCAAAGGATAACATCTGCTACAGTCCTATGCACGTGAGCAAGAAATAATTGATTTGGTGACAGCATCTCATCTCCAAGCTCTACACCCTACCAGATTGCTTGCCGAGGTAAGCTAGAAGGCCCACAACTAATAAGAGGGTCCACAACTAACAGCTCTTCGAGCATCACAAAATGGGCCTAGGCCTTCATGGCTTTCAACCCCACCTTCTAGAGCTTTAAAGCCACAAATAAGCCTCCAAGATCAGAACAATCTCTTGAAGGGTAATATTGTACTTAAATGCCCTAAAGCTCAATTAATCTTGCACTCAGGTGATTCTTATTTTAAATCCGAGAAAAAAATTGAGGGTGTTTATATGTAACATTGGGTAAACAAGAGAACAGTAACGTGCAACGTTATTGCGAAAGCAAGAGGATACCAACACGTAACATTTTAAAACATTAGAGCATTCAAATACAATTTAGCCTCGGAGGAACGAAGACAATATATTGAAAATGACTCAAGGAGAAAGTGGAACACGATACATATATCGACACAAATTTTAAAATTTACTTTTAATAAAGGACGAAACAATATGTATCCGCTAAAGTTTTAAAAGTTAGATGGTTATTGACTTCCAACATATGTATTAGTTTCATACAATTCGCCAAACAGATCGAGCCTTCTTTTCTACGACATGAGTCTTTCATAGAGCACCCTATATCGCCCTAAAACCTTACAAGGAACTCCTCTAACCAACGTTTGCACCCATCAGTTTGTGGAAGCGAGATAATCTGCAATACGACTGAGGACTACTTACCTTACTTAAAACTTTTAATAAATTATCTGTAATGAATACGAATCACGGAAGCAGCTGCATTTTTCTTACCTTTTCCGTGGCTAAAAGGCCAACTCTTTCAGAGTTAGAAGGGCCATGTACTTTTGCTTAGCTCGAGTAATCAAATTATTTAAGAAGTCACATCGTTAGACTTAAAAGACTCACGATGCCATTAAAAACAAGAGGTCGATGGAAAACCACATACAAAAGCTACAGTCTTGGATAAGTCTCGTATCCTTTTAGTGGGCTCTCGGATGCTTTTAGTTTGTATTAAGTATTGGAGACATCACAATTAATAGCTTAAATTTAACTTCAAATTTGGTCGATTGCATTAAATGTGCATCTAAGAGATATCAACCCTTGGATCATCTCCACCGGATACTTTCGATACTTGATCACAATGATGTTCAATTGTGAATTAAGGAGAATTGCAAAACAAAAGCATATACTTTCATGATAGGAAACATATCACTATCATATGAAACTAAAGGAGCGTAAGCAAACAACTATAAATTATCAAAGAAGATCACAAAGTATCCACATCACTTTGCTTACTTTGTGTAATTAAACAGTCTGATATTGTTTCCCAAGGTAAAGAGCATAATGTTTGGCTACTACTAGGTTTTTGAATCGCTATAAGTTACTAATTACTTATTTTCAAAACTTTTTATATGTAAGAAAGTCGTTTGGTAAACCCCTTTTAAGATAAGGAAGTTATTTGGTAAACCCTTTAACTTAAAAGGTTATATAAGTAGTTATGTGTTTGGTAAACTAAAAACTTCAGGTTGTGTTAAAATGTCAGATTATTAAAAAGGTCATATTATTGTAATTTCATATTGTGACAAATTAATTCATTTTATATTGACCAGATAATTAATAATATTAAATATATTAATTATTTAAAAAAATAATTATTTTAAATTTAATTATTTTAAATTAATTATGATCATTAATTAATAATATTGGCATTAATTAATTAATTTCATTGTAATGAAATATTATTATTAATAAAATTAATTAATTAATTAAAAATTAGTTATCTCATAACAATAAAATTATTTAACTAAAATATTTTTATATGTTACATTATTTGTGATTATTAATTACTAATATTGAAATTTATCAAAAAAGTTTCAATCAGTAAAACATTACTATTAATAAAATAATTAATTAATTGTAATAAAAAATATACTTGATTAAAATATTTTTATATAACACATTACTTGTGATTATTAATTACTAATATTATGATTAATTAATTAATTTAAAATTAAGAACTATTATTATTAATAAGAAATAATTAAGTAATACATAAAAAAAGTTACCTCACAGTGAGGAACATACTTTATTAAAACATTTTTATATATTACGCTATTTATGATTATTAATAAGTAATATTGAGATCAACTAATTTCATATTAATTAAATAGTAATTATTAATAATTAATTAACTAATTAATTATTAATAAATAATTATAATTTGTTTACTAACTAGTAATAAATAATTGTTAATAAATTATTAAAAAATTAAATAATAAATTAATTATTAGTAATTAATTAATTATAACTAATTAATAATATAACTTTATAAGAAAATATTTAACTACGTCAAGGAACATGAGGGTATTTTCGTCTTTTGGCCAGAATAGGAAAAGTTCCTTATAAATAGAGAAAAATAAGTTGAAAAATCCCAATTAATTTTTCCCTACTTACAAGTAGCAAATAAGTAAAATAAATAATCCTTACCAAACACCATATTGTCACGTTATAAGTAAAAAGCTACTTATAAGGAGAAATAGAGAAGTTACTAAACACGCTCAAAATATGAAGACCCGTAATTGAGTTGTTACATTGCCTATGCATTTATATCATACTAGATTTTATGCATGTGCAATGCACATGTATTTTTAGTTTATTCCATACAGAAATTTGTTCATCGGTTCCACTTTGATAGTTTTTGCTCAATATGTCTGTCTCTAAACTCTAGCATTAAGATTATTTATCATCTTTAATATTTGTTTGAATGGGCTACACCCAATTTAAATTTTCATGTTGATAATTGAAGTGACACAAA